ATGTGCAGCACAGAATCGATCAGGTTTAGACTTTGGAGCCCTTTCGAGTTTTTGGTCGAATCCCACCTCCCCTTCTCTGCTTCTGGACACAACAAGAACTCTACGTACCAAATCTCCAGCGGTTCTTAAACGAAAAGCAAGGAACTTTCAGGGTCCACTAACAAAAAGTGATATAGATTCAAGCAAGTCTAAGCTGCTTACGACTTGATTATCAAGAACTACCACTAACCAAGGACAGCATCATCTAAGAATAATTTCCTTCTTAATTTGTGGGATGATCGCGGGATGGTTGAGTCATTAACTTACAATAACGTAGGTTAACAGATAGATTATAGTTTAGGGGTCTCGTTGGAAAGTAATGCCGAAGGTGCAATTTAGTTGTGAATCTTTGACCAAAAGATTCATTTTCTTTTCTCTTTTCTTGACTGCACTATTGTGGACTGCACTTGGGTTATTGCAGTCGCATTTGGTTTGGAGAATAGAAGTTTAGCAAACTGGCTAGGTGAGTGCTTGTGCTTCTTGCCTAAGAATTCTGAGGTCATCGATCCAATTTATAGTCTTCTATATCCTCAGATATGTAACATCATGTTGTATAATTTCTCTACTCTAATTTTTTTTTTAAACAGAGACTTTAAGATTTAAGGGTTTAAGAGTCAAATTAGAGATTTAATGATTATTGGATCAATGTTCCTATCTACTAGGTTTATTGAGTATTCGAGACCATTTTTAAATCTACTACGTAGTTATATTGAGTACTCGGAACAATTTTTATACCTTTCACATTTAATATATTTTTAGTGCCTTTTTTGGGTGGACTAAATACTTCATTACATGTTTTGTATTCTCTGTCCTATCATATAGGGTTTACCAAGAACATAATGGGCTCCTCTCAAGATTTACCAAATGTATCTATCACGCTTAATTAAGATGTTTCAAGTTCTAATATTGAGTTTATGAACGAATGATTAATGATGAAAGTGATAACAAGGTTTTGACTGAAAGAAATGTCACTTCATTGCATCACCATTTATGGGTTTTCCTCAAAAACAAGAAACCAACATTTTATTGGGCGCCGGAAAATGTGTTGTCCATTCCCAGACGCAATTTCCAGTAACGGTTGCAAACTTGCGCAATGTCGTTTTCCCCCAAGCTATGGTCACTAGTTATCATCTTCGACTAAAAAGTTCCCGATGGGTTTGATGTATACCAGACTTCTTTAATTCTTCCAATCAATCTTCTTCTTCGTCTGCTTTCCTACTAGCGTGCAGCTTCAAACTATAGCTACCAGCATTTCGAGCCAAGGACTTAATTAATTTCACGGTTACGCAACTTGTATCTATCGCCAGGCACATGCACGCTTTTGAGGAATCCATCTTTATAGCTCATTTTGACACCAAGATTCACGGCTGATACCCCATCACCCTCATTCTTTTGTATATTTTGGTTGGTTCCTTTTTGACTCTGTTGGCAAATCATTTCTAAGACAGCTATTACTGGCAGTCGTTTGCTTTTCCAAAAGTTAAGGAAAGTTCATGAAAAGGCGATCATTTGCTTATGGTATTCGTGCATTATTATGACTGCTGTTTTGTTTTACATCGATGATTAAACTATAATCTTCTCATCTTGTCCTTCCTGACTGCAGCAATAAGCCCACTACTTTAATCTCTGCTGAGACCTAGCTAATAAAAAGAACGATAAAGGACGAAAAGACTTGATCAAGACTGAATGGACGGTTGTTTCAACTCGTACTGCTCTTTTCTTTCATTTTTCTACGAAATTTCATCATCTTGACTAGAAAGAACTGTTGGAAGATTGCAGAGCGATCGTGACTTCTGGTCGTTCCATTTTCCCTGCCGGTTTCATGAAGATTGCTGATAAAGTAATGTATCGGATGGAATTTTTTTTTTTTAAAGAAAGACCTTGAGAAGAGAATAGGGATGGAACTAGAAATTTTAATTTGAGGGGGTAAAATATATATACGTAAGTAAAAACTTCCGAATCAGCATAAAATTTTTGAAGAAGCAATTAGTTTAAAATACAGAAAAACTTTTTAAAATTTTAAAGAAAAAAATATAAATATCTAGAGCTTGGGGGATGGAGGCCCTCCCCCTCACCAGTTCCGTCCTTGCTTTGAGAAATGAGTTGTACATAGAGGACAACCACATCCCGTGTTTGGTAAACTAGAGTAGAAAACAAGATGAATCAGTGATACAGTGATTATAAAGTATGTTTAGTGACTGGTGAATCTGTCATTGACCAAAAGATCTGAGATTCTGGAGTATTCTTCATGAAAAGACATCATGGATGTTCATTTGTGGAATCTTTGGACAAAATGCACTAGACAAAGGACGAATTCCGGAAAGTTGCAACTTGCGAGTCTTCATTTTCTTTTTTCTTTTTTCATTTGGTACAAAAAGAAATTATGTGCCAATTCTGAAACGTATTTGTATGAATACATCGTCTCCTAACCATACCAATTTATATATCTTCTACCTTATCTGAACGCCAGAACTCAATAATCTGAATGTCAATTATTTGCGCGTATCTTAAAATGCAGAACCAAAAGGCTCATTTAAAGGATTAAGAGCCAAAGCACTATTAATTTATACAGCTTTGAAAGTCATAGACAGTATAATGCTAATTCAGAACAATATCAAACTGACAAAACTTAAAAGAAAAGGCTGGACTAATGAACAAATCATTAGTGGACAATGGATGACACTTTATCAAGATCTTCCGCACTCACTCCATAAATGGAATCCAATTCCAATAGGATACGTCACATTTACCTTTTATTTATTTATTTAAATGAATACTTTTTTTTTTTTTTTTGTATTTTAAGAATTTGAATTTGTTAACACCTGTTCCCTCATAGGCAAGAGACTTAAAATCTTGTTTGGAAAGTCATTTTTCATCAAAAAAATTTTCATATTTTCTGTGAATATATTTTTCATTTTTTTTTTTGCTTTATATATATCGAATTGCTACAGTATATTTTTCTATAAAAACTCTACAAAATTGCAATCTAAATAGGTCCTTAGGAATCGAATCCATCTATTAAAATCTTTGGCAACATGCAATTTTTTCTTCTTTTTTTCCTTTTTGGAAGAAAAACACCGTGCAATTTCAGCAAGGTAACAAAAACACGATTTCCATGTGTCAGAGGCGTGGACTGTCACTGCTTCAAGTAGACAGAAGCATTAGACTTGCACAGTTTGAACACGATTTCCATCCCAATATAATTAGTGATAGGGATTAAACATCTCGAGAGAGTCTATCAAAGAGTCCAATATGTAAGTTAGAAACCTAATCCTGACTCAAAAACTTAAATCATTAGGTTTCGGACCCTTATTTACATATTAATTGTTCTTTCTCTATCTCTCGGATTAATGTGGAACATAAATCTTTACTCATGAATCTAACAAATCTCCCCATTTATGGATAACCCTCACATTAAACCCAAATTTACAATTCCTTATTCAAACCCACTTTAATATTCAACGCAAATCCACCTTATCATTTAAAGTCATCTCTTCTCCCAAATATGGACCCACTCTTATATAGACTAGGGATGTAATCGAGTCGAATCAAGCTCGAGTAGTGCTATACTCGAGCTCGACTCAACTCATATATCCCTTGGCTCGAGCTCGATTGAGTCAAAAAAATTGATACTCGAAACTTGACTCGATGTACTCGCTCTAAGCTCGAAACTCGACTCGATAAGGCTCGACTCTTAGTCAAACCTTATCAAGCCGAGTCTAATCAAGTTTTTTGACTCGACTCGACCAAAAAACTGAGGCATTTTTTAGACATTTTTTCTTTTTAGGTATTTTTATAATTATGTTATTATTTTTTTACCCTTATAAAATTTTATTATAAAGAAGAGTATATTGTAAATTCCGTATAACCTATACCCATAATAGTCATTTTATAATTATAATACACATATATTATTTAAATTATAAATATATTATTTAAATAGCCCGGCTCGACAAGCTACTCGACAAGCCTCGAGCCAAAAATTTGAGACTCGAAACTCGACTCGAACGCCAATCGAGCTACTCGAAACTCGGCTCAAACTCGGTCAACCTGAGTTCGAGTCAAGCCGTTGACCGAGCTACTTGCAAGCTACTCGCGAGTAGCTCGGCTCGCGTACATCCCTAATATAGACCCATTTTTTTTTCAACATCCAAACTGTACCGGACCTCTGCCAAACCCATGGTGCACCTGATCCAACACTAGTCAAACTCCTTAACACTTTGACACTTCGATTCACCATTAAGAAGAGAATTTTCACCGGTCCAACTCCGAGAAGAATTCACTTACCCATAAGTAGTTCTGTAATTCTAATATCAATTTGATAGGGAATTCTGAAAAGAATCCAATTACCCATAAGTAGTTCTGAAATTCTGATACCAATTTGATAGGGATTAACACCTCGAGAGAGTTCATCAAAGAATCCAATATATAAGTCAGGAACTCAAGCCTGACCCAAAAGTTTAAACCATTAGGTATCAAGCCCTTACTTACATATTAACTATTTTTTCTTTATCTTTCAGACCAATATGGAATATAATCCTTTACTCATGAACCTAACAATTAGTAGCTTGATTTCTTTGCTTTTTATTTTTTAATTAAAAAAAAAACTATTTGAAGCCGCGTACAACTCTGGGCCAAAGCATCTGACCATCTTGTCTAGGAAAGCTCAGGCTATCAACCACGACAAGGCTAAAAATAAATGCAGACGAACTGGGGCAGTGGTTTGAAACTGGGTCAGCCATGTTGAGTTTATTACTAGTGAGTTGGGAACATTGATAATAAGTTACATTGGGGGCCGGGTCTCGGTTGATTTTCTCTTAATAAACTTCCCCCACGTAAATTTGGGCCCCCGGAAGGCATCCGCCCAAATAACCTTTCTGCTTGCGGGGGTAAAATTTTCTCTTATTGACCTTTATTCGTGCACAGTAGAAAAATTTTAATCTCCATCCAATCTCAGTTCATGTGAAAATAAATCAAATTTATTGTGCAGGAAAAATTAATCCTTCCACGCATTGTTGACAATGCATGCATTAGTCCTTCGAATCCTCCTAAAGCAATGGAAAGAAGAAATATAAAAGAAGGGGAACAAATTTTATCAATTGCATCCTCAACGTTAATCATCAGTAGCATGCCTGTACCAAAAAAATTTTTTTTTTCTAGATCTATTTGGTGTTATATAATATTGAAGCGACACTAGGAAAGAAATACTAGTATTTGTTCAATCTGCCCTTCGGAGTTGGAGGCGGTGGCTGCGAGTATGCAGTTCGTGGATGGTTAGGCGAGTGTGGCGGACTAGGAGGTGGAGGAGAGTAGAAGTAAAACCAAGCCGGAGGCACACTAGGAGGTGGAGGAGAGTAGAAGTAAAACCGAGCCGGAGGCGGTGGCTGCGAGTAGCATAGTCATTCATACGTATGCTTCTAGGCAACGAAATTTTTAGCTTCACAATAGATTGCACCAGAGACAGTAGTGAATCTGATATCTTCCAGCACAACACAAAGAACTAGACTATTAATTGCACCAGAAACTAAATTTACAGCTTGAAAGTAAAAATCCATAATTGAACTGTCATTTTAAAGTCAGAAAAATATTTAAAAAAATCCGATTATCCGCATTTTTTTAACAAAAACCACAGGAAGGCAACAGTTAAGAGACATTTAAGAAGTAAATAACATCAAATGTCGATAGATTCTTAAACGATACATTAGTTTGCATTCCCAGATCATAGTAAACCCCTCAAAGTCCCAGATCCATTAAACATAAGCGACATGCAAACCAAGAAAATCTCCCAAAACTCAAAATTAGACCTTAAGCACACCTCAAAGACATAAACTTCACATTAATTTCTATATTTAAAAAAATTACTATGATATCCAATAATTGCAAAAGCGAAAAAGGAGAAAAAAAAAAAAGCAGCACTGCAAGACTTTCTGTCGTCGATCAGACACATAAGATAAGGACAAAGAAAGGGGAAATTTTTTAAAACAGAAAAAAGCCAAAGCACAATAAAATTGTTTAGACCACGATAACACATTGCTAATAAAAACACAGAAGAAGAGAATAGAACTGTCCCCCAATGCATACAAAATAATAACAAGTAAAGGACAACCAGGAATTTCAGAGAAAACTACATTACAACTCCAAACTCAAATTCAAGCAAAATCATTTATCCATAACCAACCCATTACTCCAAAACTCCTAAAAAGGTAAGAAAAAGAAAAAAAGAGTAAACTTGTACCAGCCAGTGCCATCCTCCAAGGCCAACAGCTTTCTTGACTACACCTTGCAGACCAACAAGAACAGACTTAGTCCTGTTGTTACCAGTCACAACAACCTTAGTATGACGTGGCAAAACCGAGAGCTCTTCTTCACTGCTGTCTCCACAGCTCTGCAAATGTGAAAACCCATTCACTGAACTTTCTACTGCTTCGAGCATTTCTGATAGAAAAAGATCAGCTTTTTGTCCCCTAAATTCAGTCAAATTCCAGTTTCAGCCCAAGAATTCGGAACTGATCGGAAGATCAGGCATTGTATAGTCCAAAACCGTGATCTTGGTGGTCAATTGAGCGAGAAAATGAGTGGAATTTTGGGATTTTTTGAGTGTGAAAAAAAAAACACAAACCAAAAAAAAAAAAAAATGAAAGGCTGGACTTGGGGGCAAGAGAAAGAGGAGAGAGAAGATGGTGAGAGTGAGAGTGACTTCGGTGTGTGTTTTTGTGTGTGTGTGTTTTTCTCTGGCTTGTTTAATGCTTTTGTGTAGGCTATGAATCCCGGAGAGTTGAAATGAACCAATAGGAGGAGGCCACGTAGGAAGGAGAGAGGAGGTCGTCAATTATTCATGCAATAGAGGCTTGCGCTGCGGCAAGATGCAAGACAACTAGCGCGGTGTAGGGTGGGAGAGTTACAGAGGGCGAATTGACCGCTTTGACTGGTGCTGCGCATCGCGGAATGGAGTCGTGGGATTACTGAATTCACAATTTTATCCTTTATTAGGATTTTGGTTGCTTTTCTTCGGTACATTTTCACGCCTCTAAGGCTCTAACTTCCCCCTTTTTTTTTTCCTTTTTCCTTCTTCCTAAAGTCCTATGCTGTCTCTTCAATTTTGTCCTCCCATGTCACACACAAATCAAAACGAAGTTTATAATCAACTTGAGATTTGCTACCATAAGATACGATGTCACAAAAGATTGCAAGTAAGATAAATTCTACAAATGATAAATTGTGCCCGTACAAGAAAATATATAAACAATTATTCTATAAACTATACGTAATGATAATATATATGACGAGCGTTGTTACATTTTCAGCACTAGTGTCAAAGATATGTGCAACACGTGTGTAGTTCATAAATCAATTTTTTGCAAGTTAAAATTTTTATTACTAAAGCAAATTGTAGTATTTTACACTTTCTTCTCAACAAATGATAATTGTTTTGCCAGTTACGACAAATGTTTAAACACAGTTATTTTGTCAAAACGTGTTCAGATAGTTATTGTTAACAATAGTTACAACTGGTTATGTTAGCAATTTATTATGTTTAAGTGGTAAAATAGTATGCGATTTTCATAAAAATAAAATAAAAATTATATAAAGAAAAAAAGCCTATTTCTCCTTTTATATATATAGTATAGAGATATATTAGATAAATAGTACTATAAGTTGTAATTAAATAGAGCCTTAATTTTTTTACGATATATCAAAAAAATACTATAATATTTTTTAAAAATATAATTTCAAATAATTTCCTGTCCAAACAAAACACCTAAGGATGGCAACAATTGAAATGAAGAAACAAAAATCTGAAGAATGAAAAAAGAGAGAGGGAGAGAGATTGCTGTGCAAGGGTGTTGGTGTAAATTGGTGGAGAGAGGAGACTGATAGCGGGCAAAAGTAACGGGAACCGGAAAGTCATGGGGAGGGCCCACGTGGACAAGGAAGTCTATCTACCGACGGTGTTGTCTTATCCGACATGGGCCACTTGTCTCTCCTTTCTCTCACTTCACTTCTGCAGAATTCTGCGACATCTCCGTATCAATACGAATTACTACTACGTACAAAATTATCTGCATCCATGTCCCGATGTCCCCTTTCATAACTCACAGTTTTTTGTATGAGTGTTTCGATAAATGGACTCTGCGAAGACACTTCAAAAGCCGGCAACTTTTGAAGTGCTCCGCAGCACTTAACTACTAAACCCCCCAAACCCCCCCAAGCGATGTGGGAACTTAACCCCACAGGGTGCCCCGCTGCTAAGAGATAAAGACCCCCCAGACTCCCCGAGACAGGTTTTTCCCTTTCATAACTCACAGTTTTTTGTATGAGTGTTTCGATAAATGGACTCTGCGAAGACACTTCAAAAGTCGGCAACTTTTGAAGTGCTCCGCAGCACTTAACTACTAAACCCCCCAAACCCCCCCAAGCGATGTGGGAACTTAACCCCACAGGGATCCATGTCCCGATGTCAGTCATCAATTAATTGATTGATTAATAATTAATTAATTGCCCCCATCCCATGCATTATATATATATTCATTGCTCGTTCTCTCTCTCTACTACTACTGCTACCGTGACTCTACTTTATTACTACTAAATATAATAATCATCCGTTGAAAAATATCTGACCACTTCTTCTTTGTCACTTTCTTCCCTCCATCCATGCTCCAGTAGTACGACAGACATAGTGATAGTAGTAGGAGTTTTCCCGCCATAATCGAGCGTTAATCCGGCCGTCCATCAGCAACTGTCCCGGATAATCTGGCCGTCCAAATGATTCGGCGCCATTTGATTGGTCCGATGAAGTCATGGGGCATGTTCCGTATAACATGTGTAATCATCACAAAGGTTTTGAAAGGCGATTGCTTTTTTTTTTTTTTTTTTTTTTTTGTAACGCCTGCTATTGGGATGAGGACAAAGTCTCGGATACCTCGAGAAAATATTGGATTCCTCAGGCATTAGTGCCTTTGCTAATTGCTAATCAACATCATTAACTTTACCACTACATCATCAAATCAATCAACCCCTGGGCTTTAACTGAATGATGATGATGTTTAAGCCTTTTTTTTTTCTTTTTTTTCATTTAGCCTGTCAAAATTGCGAAAATGGTATTCGAATTTGATTTACCATTACCATTTTTTTTTTTTTTTTGCAAAAGCTCAAACTAATTTTTTACTTTTTAATTGAATTGAGCTCTAGTTGGAATGGTGTCCTCTTTCCCTTTTTTCCTCAGTACTGTACTTCAATACAACTTTTTGTGTGTGTCAAATTGGAGTAAACGAGTGTACTCTTAGAAGAGAATGATGGAAGTGAAATTTGAAGATGACAATTCAAAACTTGGAATCGAAAGCTACAGTACTTGCAAAATATAACCAAAATCTAGAACGTGACTAGATGTAAGAATGACCATTCAGCTTCAGTCACATTTTGCAAGTCATATTTGCATTGGACTGTCATGACCATTGCAACAAGCTAAGCACCAAATTCCGCTCATTTGATATTAATTATTATTATTACCTCCAATCATGAATCACTCAAAATATTAAAATTAACGCTTAGATGGAGGGACAAACGGAGGACTGTAGTTAAGCTGCCAAAGTAGAGGTCAACATTTCGTTGCAACAATAGCATTAATCGTACACACACACACACATATATATATATATATATATATATGCATGTCAAATAAATTCATTTAGTTAAATTTATTCATATCAATTCATGAATATCTGAATATGAGTATAAATTGGTTACCTAATAATATCCCTATTTAATAAATATATATATATTTATATATACACACACACACGTGTCAAACAAATCCATTTAGGTAAATTTACCTATATCCATTCATGAACATCTGAGTACGGATATAAATAGGTTATCTAATAATATCCCTATTTAATAAATATAATTGGTTAACCCACCAAACCCACATTTAGAATTGTCTTCACAATCATGTTCAGCTATAGTATCCTCGTTTCTTTGTCACCTTTTGACTCGTACATGGACAACTTAGACTAAAGCTCCCGCGGGTAACTCGAGCGGTCCGCTCCCCCTCCTTAGGGTATGGCGATTTTTCTGACTTGTCCAGAGTTCGAGTCCCGCTGTTAACGTGTTCGGTGTGGAGTGGGGCCTCCTCTCCCGGACCACAGGGGATTAGTCGGACCTCGTAAGGATTGATCCGGACACCCCTGTGTCGACAAAGAAAAAAAAAAAAAAAAAAAAAGGACAACTTGGGCTAAAAGTGTTGGGTCATTTTTTTTTTTTTTTTGCCTCAAAATTGCTAGCATTAGAAGGTCGCAGCAATCTTTAGCCGGTTCCTTATTCCTCCAAATGCAGCCACTTACTTGCGTATGTCCTCCATATGCGAATCTTAAACAAATATAGTAGTAATTGTTTAGAAGTTATTACATCCATATGTAGCATCTTGAAATTTCTCCATTATATGCGGGTTATTGTTTCCACTACCTTTTTTCTTTTTGTAATTCCACTACTTGAGTATGTTGCTTTGTAATGTTGGGCAGATAATGATTAGTTTGTTTTCGTCCATTTACATTTACGCATTGTAGTGTGTTTTTGGTTGTAATTTTGTATTTTTTTTATTAAAAAAAGAAAGAAAAAAATAGGGAAAATAAGTGGCTTCGTGAGAATCTGAAGCCATAATAAAGTGGGCACAGTAGAATCACAAATGTCAGCCCAATATGAAAACATGACCCCAGCAATAGGCACCATGTATGAAGGCCAGTGAGTTCGGGAATTTTTTTTTTTTTTCGACACTGTGAGTATCCGAGACCACCCGACTAATTCCACAGCGTCCAGACAGAGCGGGCTCTGGTCGATGCCTAGGACGTAAACAACTGGATTGCGATTGGAATCGAACCCAGATGAACTTGGAATAAAGACCTCGCCTCCACCATCCGAACAACCCAGTGCGGGCTGAGTTCGGTAATTGAACGTCAGACTTTGTGAAGGTCCATGGTCTTATATGGGGCCTGATCTGGTCTTTCAAATGTTCACCGGAACTAACTTGGAACTTGGAACTAAAACCTGATCTTAGAATAAAAGAAATTTGCCCTTGGACACAGGCAATTTCTATGGGTAGAAATATCCAAGCAAAAATTACACCAGTCGTCTTTTTATATATTATTGATGTGAAATTTTAATCCACTAAATCAAAAGATTTGATTTTAGTTCTTAACAAATAGAAAACTCTCGTTTTTTTTTGTTCCTGGTTAATATTTCCGTCGAATTTTATCTGATTCTGTCGGATCCTAGCATATTTCGAATTTTGCAATTTTTTCACCCTAACTTATCGCTAAATTATTTCAATAAATTTTACAACTTGATTTTGACATCGATCAAGTTCTGAAATTATTTCAAATGCGTCTCAGATTTCAAATGAAATAAAATAATCATGTAAATACAAATCAAAGGATAAAATGAGAAATCCAAAACTTCAAATTTCCTATGCTATTTTCTCCGTATAACTCAAATAAAGTTGCAATGAAATTACATCCACAATTGTAAAGATCAAGATCTATGAGAAATTTGAACCAATAATCCACAAACAAGGGACCAAAATTCCAACGAAAATTATTTTAGGATAGTTGACCGAGTATCAAAAGTGAGTCTTTTTTATTTATTACGAACAAAAATTATTTGTTTTGATTTTGAGGGACAAAAATTTCACATTAGTAATATGTGAAAAATGATTAGTGCAATTATTTCCCAATATCTAAATGTATAAATATCATTTCCCGAACTGAAATTATTTAGAAATTTGCTGATGGACTCGGGAAATATGGCAATTGATAAGAAATTAAAAATGAGCAAATTAAAGTAAAAATGGAACGTAGTGAGGGCAAGAAAATTGAAATTG